ACCCACTTCTCTCAGAATACAGGACACTGCAATAGAAATTCACCCAGTTTCTTTAATCTTATGTTTCACTGTGCTCACTGCAGGGCCAGCAAGAAGTGACCTCACTTCCATTTGCCCATAAACAAACTAAGGATAACTCTTAACTTATTTTAGAGGGCATTTACTTAAACATCTTAAAAGTGCTTTAAGATGCCCAGAAAAAGGCTGCTGGAAAAGGATAAAATGTTGGTATTCTTGTCCCACACAGGACTCATTTGTAAATAGGACTGAAGATTTGTTAATGTATTTGCATTTCATTTTAGTGAAAGGTTTTCTTTGTCAAAGCAGACGAAAAGATGCAGTTAAGTGGAACGTTTGTGATCCCCCACATCTAATGCCTGGGAAAGACATATAGACAGACATAAAATGACAAGCAAGAGCAAGCAAGGACTGCTTATGACACACAAGTGAAACAATAAAAATTAAGAGGTTATAAAAGGCAAGGCTTTTCCCCTGAAGTCATTCAATTCCCTGTGAGTTAACCAAGCCGAATGGTTACTGTGGCTGCCTCAAATCTGGAAACGGCAGGCTGACTTCACAGTAGCGCATAAAGGCATTGCAGTCTTGATGGATCAGAATAAATATGAGGAAAAGTAAAATCAAACAATCAAAACTTCTTTTTTATTGCTGAAATAAGGAGGATCTGGGAAACTATAAGCTTGTCAACCTTACCAAAATCCCTAGTAAGATTATGGAGCAAATCTTCATGGAAGACCTTTCCAGGTACAAGGTGACCGGGAACAGCCAGCATGGATTTACTGAAGGCAAATTGTGTCTAACCAACCTTAGCGCCTGCTACAGAGAGATGTCTCATTCTGCAGACAAGGCGAGAGCAGGGGATGCTATTTATCTTGTCTTTAGCAAAGGCTTCAGCTTGGTCTTCCGTAGCATCACTGGAGCCAGACCAGGGACTTATATATTGTGTGGGTAGAATAAAGGGGCGAGCAAAAACTGCCTAGCTGGACCACCAGGCTCAAAGGGTAGCCATTGATGGCTGAAAGTCTAACCAGTGGCTGATTTTGAGTGACGTTTCTCAGGTGGATAGTGGGGTGAGTATTGGTAACTCTTTTAACATCTTCATTAACAACCTGGATGATAGGACACTCACCCTCATCACGTTTATAGATAACACCAAACTAGGGGGAGTAGCCTATATGCTGGAAGGTAGAGCTGCCACTGAAAGCAAGCATTCCTTGAAGAACCTCATGAAGTTCAGCAGTGACAATCCTGCACCTGGGAAGAATAACCCCATGCAACAGTACGGGCTGAGGACTGATTGTCCAGGGACCAGCTCTAAAACAAAGGACCTGGGGGTCCTGGAGGACAAGTTGAGCGCGAGTCAGTAGTGCACCCTTGTGGCAATGAAGGCTGACTGCACGTTGGGCTGTGTTAGAGCAACCTAAAGGAGCATGAAAGAGAAGATGGAGCCAGATTTTTCTCAGAAGTGCACAGCAAGAGGAGTCACAAGTTGCAGCAAGGGAAATTCCGATTAGATATAAAGATAAAAAAAAAACCACAATAAGAGTAGCCAAACACTGAAGCAGGTGCCGAGAGAGGATGGTAATCTCTATCCTTGCGGATTTCCAAAACTCAGAAAGAACCCTGAGCAACCTGACCTAACTTTCAAGTTGGCCCTGCTTTAACCAGGCATTTGGACTAGAGACCTCCAGAGGTCCCTTCCAACCCGAAATCTTTCTATGTTTCTACCAGGTGAACTGAAAACCTAATATCCATTTCAGCTTTGGAAATAACCTGCCTTATGCAATTACTCTGTACCTTGAATAGGATGAAGGGTTCCTATTCACTTATTGTACTAAGTGTTCTACACTAGTGACTAAATGCCACGTTGCAGCCCTGAAATGACTGCATTTCAGGCATCTATTTAATGATCCGAACATATTTTGAGGAAAAGGGGATGCTACAGAAATAAAAAATCTCGATCAAAGTCTGTGGCAACAGGGATTCATTCTCACAAGGGAAGGTCTGGTTGACAGAGATCATGAAACAGCTGGTCCTTCTGTTCTGACCTGCATATATTGCTTCATCCCACCCTTAAGCTGACCCATTTGTCCTCCTCCACTTAAACTAACATTATATTATGCTTAGGCAAAGCAAAATAGATTTTTCACGTAAGCTAAGGAGGATAAGAGGGGAAGACCCCTGGATCAGAAGCAACAAGGTTGTGTTTTTCTTGAAATTGGTGAAATCGGAGGTACTTACCCGGATAGCCAGTGAGGCCATAGGCTTTCCACTGGCTAACTGGCTGTAATCCTGCTCTGTAGGCATCTTGATCACTGACTGAAGAAACACTGAGCTGTGATCTGAACACCTAGCAGAAGAAAACAGATCTGGTAAAAGAATATGGAAGAAATACAACACTCATTCCAAAATAGCACCTATAAGAAAGAACGGTACCAGGGAGTCTTGCAAAAATGTCAATAGGACCACAGAACTACCATCTAAACAACCATGAGCAGAACAAAGCATGCTGCTAACAGAGCTGGTACATACGCAACGAAAGAATGAAAAGGTGGCTACTGTTCTTACAATACTCAGGGATCAGGAGCGATGTCCTTCATTCATAAAGAACAATTTATAGTAATGAGAAAAGATTCTGCACTATTTGTTCATTTCCACAGTACAGCCTCATCATTACAAAACATTCTGGTAATTATTGATCTCCATTAGAGGGACTGTAATATTTAGCACTCATAACACTTCATATCTTTGAAGCATGTTCCAAATACTAGCTATTCCTCATGACCCCACAGGGTAGATGACTATTCTCTTCTGTAATTTGCAGAAGGAGAAATTGAAGTACAGTGATGAAGTGGCTCGCCCAAAGCTGTCTGATGAGAAGTAATGAAGGAAACCCTATAAATTAAGTTCTACCACATTGCCACTTCTGTTCCCAACACGCAAGTCAGCAGCTCTAGGGTTAGCAAGAGACATTTGAGTGGTTTCGCGACATACTCTCTTGGGTCACAACAGCACGTTATTTAAGATGGAATAAACCAACACTATTGCTCTAATAAGCAAACTTGTCCACTGTGTTTCCGCTACCTTCTTCCCTTACAACTGGGAACGTTCTTAGGGAGAGCAGGGGAGAGGCAGCTTGGTTTTGATCTGGCTTAGTTCCCCAGCTCATCTCCCCACGTGGCTGTGCAAGCATACAGGCTGGCATAAGGGAGGAGCAGCACAGAGATAGTGGGAATAAGCAGGCAGAGGCAGGCAAGACTTGGTTTACGATAATTTGTCTATGAAGTTAAGGCCTAAGTGCAAGCACTCAGGCTCTGCAACGTGAACAAGATACAAACGTTAGTCTCTCTGCAGGCTGGTACAGATCTAGTTACAATCTTCTGAGCATTGGTTAAAATTACATACATGAAATTTGTGAGAAGACTCTAAACCAGTGCTGGGCAGCAGTTTCTGGCAGGTGCCTAGTTCCACCAATTTTTCAACTCTCTTTGCCAAAAGCAGCTCTGTGACTGCCAGCCTTGAATTAGATCAGAGCCCTGTCTGCAGAACATCCCCAGGAGGGGTCTTCCTTTGACTGAGACTTTGCCACCTCTCTGTCTTCTCAAACTGCTTACACGCTGCCTGCTGCCAGGGCTTCAGGAGGACAGGAGCTGTTTCCATGCTGAAGAGCTGCATGTGCTGTACTAGTCAAATCCTCCCTGTAGCAAGGCAGCTGGGGTATGTCTCACTTCACTGAAGAGCTCAATCACTTGAAGCCCTTTTCTGAGAGAAAAGGAAGAATGGTATCTGGGCCAATCTGGCTGGCCCGCAGCTCTACTTAAAGGGAAAAGTCACATTTTTAACCCTGGGGAAAGGGGAATAAAATATGTTTTCTGTCATAAGCTATCAACCTATCTTATAAGGTAACAAGCACAAAAGAAAGATATGGAGAGGGGACAGATGCTTGCGATGCTTTCAAGTACTCAGAATTTCCCAGAAGGGCTGTAGCATTGGAATGCATGTTATTTGATAAAGGATTGCTGCAAGCTCAGGAAAGGCTGAAATGTTAACAACTCCCTTGTTTAAGGCTAAAGCATTGAACAATTTCATGCAGGTCAGGTTTTATGTCCAGTTAACAATATTAATGCTACTACGAAAAGACAGAAAAATAAGTATGTTTAATAGAACAGTAAAAAAATGTTAAGCATTTGAAATGTGAAAAATCAGCTAAGATCTCATTTAACTATATTCTCTACTCCTTTTATTTGTAGAGACTCATACAGAGAAAATTCCTGCTTGACAATACTTCAGAAGATATTTATTATCTTTTTATGAGGTGACAAAATAGACATGAGTTTAAAAGATCACCTCTCAGTAATTCAGGACTTGGTAAACTGCTAACAGTGATGGATACTACTTTCAGGTGTGCTCCTCATTACAGGTCTCTAATCCACTGCAGTGGCTGGAGTTTTGTCCTCATGGCTAAGCCAAATGCTTATTAAACGCAAGAAAGAGAAAGGAGAAGAAACTTTACTGAAGGGAAGACAGCAAGAACTCTAGCCACACATTTTAAAGCTGGCAGAAGTCTATCTTAACTCTGGCTCACTCAGGTTTTCCAGGACCAAAACAAAAAGTATTGGTAAGGCCCAGGAAATAGTGAAGGTGACAGCTCTAGCAGTGAAATTGTTATTTTCAGTCCACACGTTCCTTTGCTTTCTTTAAGCAATGCATGGTTCAGAAGCCTTGGAGATCCCTTATTGCAGCAAAGAAAGTTAATTAAATTTTTACTGCTGTAAATCAACATAAGCAAAAATGGTAAATCTGAGAATAGGAATTTTGTTACCATGGCAACATCAGATATAGCCCTAAACACAACTTCATCCCTCACAATCATCCTTTGTCTAGGAAGGATTTTCCACTCACAGGTACCAAGCACTTGCGTAGTCAAATTTTACCTGAGAGCTGCTTTAGCATTGTCCCTACTCTTAGCGTGTCTTGCGAAGATGCAAGATATACACAGAACCAACTGCATTAAAGGCAAAAGACACCCAAGACGTCCAAGCGGCATGAGGGTGCATGTTCAGACTGGATGGCTGAGATGTTACCTCTCTCAGCTGGTCATTTCATTCAGCTAAGAATCGATCAGTTCCTGAACTGTCAGCGTTTAGCCAGGCGCATTATGGCACACCGGCTCTGAGGGGCTTTTGGGGTAAGAGTGGCACTTTGGGGTGCATTTGTTCTTAGTTTGCACGAGCAGAATCACATTGGACCTTCAGCATCACGTTCTCCTCATGAACTGCTCACGCCTGCTCATGCAACTTGTTTTTCTACATTATAACGACCCATAAGAGGTTCAGTACTAGAGACCAATGTCTTACAGCCAGTAACTGAACGGACTTCGAGATTTGACATCGAATACGAAGAAAAGAAACAACTGAAGAGAATAAGCTGCGGCAGTGTTAATAAATCCCCACGCTGACACACCGTAAAGCTGCTCAGAGGCAGAAGGACCACGTCCCCCTGGGTGCTGCCGTAGGCCAGCCCGGCCCGGCAGCCGCACGAGCCCGTCCAGGGCACGCTGGTGAGAAAGCCAGCGGCGCCCC